CCCTCCTATTTATTTTGTATCCGCTCCTCAACTTCTTCCCAGTCTCGTTTTCCAATGTTTTTCGTAATTCGCCCCAGCATATCTCTTTCTCTCCCTCTCTCTGCTTTTTGTTTTATATTTGAATTTGAATGTATGTCTCTGTCAGATCTTAATAAAGCAGATAATAAGAACCAATTTACAGGTATTGCCTTTTTCTTCACAAGTACACTATTCGTTATCACTGATATAACTCCCTATAGCTTAAGCCATTGACCGAAGATATTAAATGTGTGTGCCACAGTGGTCAGCTATTGGCCGATTATTCTACATGTGGGTGCCACAGTGGTCAGCTATTGGCCGATTATTTTCCATGTGGGTGCCACAGTGGTCAGCTATTGGCCGATTATTCTCCATGTGGGTGCCACAGTGGTCAGCTATTGGCCGATTATTCTCCATGTGGGTGCCACAGTGGTCAGCTATTGGCCGATTATTATACATGTGTGTACCACAGTGGTCAGTTATTGACTGATTATTCTACATGTGGGTGCCACAGTGGTCAGCTATTGGCCGATTATTCTACATGTGTGCGACCATATTCAGTCATTCTTCCATTATCTTACACGGATATGTCACAGTGGTCAACTTTAAAGCGACCATATTACAGGTGAGTATGTGACTGAGGTGCACCTGGATATCTTAATGCATTTGTGATGGCGTTGGTAAACAACTACACAGTTTGTGATACCGTCATGTTGTATTCTCTATATTTTCTATAGTAAATTACGTCTGGAATTCTAGATGTTTGGCCCAGAACAATGGTTACCGGTCAACAAAGCAATGTCGACTGCTTACTTCAAAGCTCATTATTGTTTGGTACTTTCCGGTCGTTACTCAACAATTTCTCATTAAGCAAGAGTAAATAGTAATCCCCTCCCTCCACACACTCTAGGAAGCATTGCTGACGTCAGCTTCCGGCCCCATGTTTGTCTGCCATCATGGACAGATTTGCTGACTTAACCGCTGATGACATTGATGACATTCTCAGAGACAGCTCAAACACCAAAAATGTCATCCGTGTGACAAAAAAAAAAAAAAAAAAATGTTGGCAGATTATAAATGAAACACAACGCATTAGCGAGGGATTTTTTTCAGAATTAAATTGTTGAAATGATGTTGTCTTATCATTTATATTCATCTGCAAAGATTCGTTCGTATAATATTTCTCATCGCAAATAATTGTCGTCTTGTCATTCGTATCATTACTCTTTGTGAAACAACGCAATAATGCACCATCACTCCTAGCAAATTAATGACAATCTTTGTGATAAACTGTTTCGCACATCCACTTTTTCTGGAACACATATAGATTCCTGACTGTTTTTTTTTATGTAGAAGCGTCAGATGGCTCGCAAATCGCCCTGTCATCGTCTGTGGCGCTGTACGGTGCTCTTCTTATGACTAGAAAGAGATGTCATGTTGTAAATATACTGAGGAGACAATATGAAGCTCAAAGATATTGATGTGTAAAAAAACCCGAAGTAACAAAGAGGAAAGTTATTATATCACTGTGTTTTAGATACACCGTGTACCACCGTCATCTATCTGTCCCTGTATATTTCATGCTAATTTTACTATTTACCGGTATAAACAGCTGCTAATCGTACCGTGTACCGATTTTAATGCTGAAGTAGGTGTTCCGTGCACATGTTTACTGTGTATCAGTGTTAACATTTATATTAAATGCAAATCAAGCGTGACGATTGATATGCAAATACATTCTTATCGATACTGTTGATGGAGCAGCTTACCTATGGTGATTGCAGTCTGGGAATGAGTTGTGCAAATTCGTGTCATTAGTACTCTGACGCCGAAGGAATATGCATTTCTTCATTAAACAGAGCATCTATGTAGAATGCAACAACTGGATATCAGAAAATATACACCGAATAGCCACCAGCCACAAAATCTATCAGTCTACCCTATAATCGTTCGCTATGGAATGCCTAGTCCGACGGTAAACCATGGTCTTTTTTGCTTGTTGACAAAGAAACCCGTTATGTGATAAGTATACAACGTGAGGACGTCTGAGCTCTGATTGTACTATTTTTAGTTCCGAACGTCCGTAGGTGGTTTTTTCCATTGATTTCTGTGATTTGTGATTTGTTTCGATAGCTCATGTTTAGTTTTGCTTCTTCGTGATTTTATGTAGTAACAATAGCCATCTTACTGTGCGTTTGTTTTTGTTTTTTTTTGTTTTTTTATTTGCATATTCTACATTTCTACTATGGCCGGATAATGGCTGACCACTGTGGTACACACATGTACTAATGTCGGACAATAACTGACCGCTGTGGAAAATCATGTGATATTGTTGGCCAAAAGTCCTTGTTATATGATGGACCAATGGCTGACTAGTGTTGCACAAACGTGATATATAGTGGACAAATGGCTGGCCACTGTTACACACACGTGAAATAGAATGGACCAATGACTGACCACTGTTACACACGTGAAATATAGTGGACCAATGGCTGACCAGTGTTACACACACGTGGAATATAGTCGGCCAATAGCTGAAAACTGTGGCACACACGTATGTCACTCCGAATTTTTACTGCTGTATGTGACAGAGTCGTCGACGTTATGGAATTTTTATTCATGATTTAGTATAATCTGATGTAACAAAACACGTTATGTCTGTGTTGTAATTTTTATCTTGTTTTTCATGTGATTACATAATGTGACAGCTGGTGTGATCAGACAGATCCCACACACCAAGTAATTAGATATGCACGTTTCACTAAACACAAAATGTCATTGACCTAATGTCTCAAAGAAAAAAAAAGCAATTTTCACCAAAAGTAAGTATTTGATATTTTAATGGTTTAAAACTGATATTTCAATATACCGCATATATTACTCTAAAATTGGATCAATGATTTACATGTATGTGGCGGTTTACACTTCGATTTTAGAAATGCAGGACACGTGTGAAGATATACAGATAAACTGTTAAATGGATCTTTTTCCTACCCAACGAAAACATTTTCGTTATGTGTTTGATATTTTGTTAGATATGATTAGCATCTGTTAAATGAATAATCTGTTGTCACCATCTACATATGTTGAAAATATGTGAACACATGTGTTGATCATATACGCTTGAAAACAAATGTGAATCTAAAATTGAACCTCAGTGTTGCATTTATAGTCTTCCTGTGACAGACATCTTAGCTCCTGACTACTTTTGAATCTAATTACGTAGGATCCATGTGTCTCCTGAACCTATGTAGATTTTATAGTAAGTTTACGTGTTAATATTTACTGTCGTGACTTTTTTTCTCCGGAATGTCAAGAACATTTCCAGATTTGATAGTAGATGATTTCTCAGAGAAAGTTGTTTGTTTTTTTGTTGCAGGAGATAGGCCAAGTCATAATATTGATGAGAGGTTTATCAAGGTGATTTAACAAATTGTTAAATGGGAATCAATCCACTACAGAACAATATTTTTTCGCATTAATATCATTATTTGGTAAATGTGCCATTATCCCGGTATGGTTATATTTTGTACATAACTGTCGAAGTATTTGTCAGTGTTTTATCCCCATTGGTGATTGTACTCACTCGACTGCTGTGACAAGAAAAGATATAGCAAAATCATACTTTTGTACAGTTAGAAGTTACCGCGAATTTTTTTTAAACATTTTATTCTCACATAATATTAAGATATATATTAAATTCAGAATGTAAATATTTGTATTGAACGAATTGTTTTAACATTTTTAGACAAGTGTATGTATATTTTCATATATAATGTGAATGTAGATAAAACTGACTTGTTTCCACTCTTTTTGGATGAAACTGACAACGTCGTTATGATCCAGATGGGAATTTAATTTCGCTATACTGTATACGCAATCATTAGATATAGCCGAAAATTAAATACCAAGGAAATATTTTACAATGAATAAAATTATCATCATATGCTCACTGTAAATTGTGTGAAAATCCAGCGAAACTGAAAAACTATAGAGTTTATAGGAAAAACTGTTATGGTCATGTGAGTAATGTAGATAAACAAAGCAAAAAATGAGATAAAGAAACAAAAAACAAATTTTAGATTTATCAAAGTGATATTTTATATATATATATATTTTGACATGTAATATCAACAACAGCGTCATAGACATAATCATAAATAACAACAATAAAAATAGTCTTGTATTCCAATCAGTCCACCCCACCCCACCCCGCCCCCTACCCCACCCCGCCCCGCCCCCTACCCCATGCCCACCCCTGATACCCGACACCCTTACGACAATAAAAGACATCCTCTTTCTAACGCGTTAACACGTACGACAGTAGTATATCCAGATTCTGTACTCATCCTTATTGTTTCTCTGAAGTCATTATCATAATAAAGGAGATGTATTTCACTTTCTTGAAATGAATAATTAATATACCACCTAGACAAACTTGTATTTGCTTAGTAGCAAACAATATAAAAAAATTATCTCAATATTCAAACATACTGTGTTTTTTTACACGAGTGTGGATTAAAAAACCCAAAGATATATAACTAAACATTATACACAAGAAATCCGTAAACTTTTGGTATGTTACTTCATTCTTTACTTGTTCAGTGTTAACAGTTCCTATTTGTAAAGTAACATTGCTATTAGTGGGAACACATGACTTGTGGGGAAAAGAAAAACACTTCAAATTAAAGGAAAATAACTGCAATGCTGTTCATTTATATCTACTTATTGTGTATAATTTATCCCATATTAGGGTCGATTGGGGAAATTTCCTGCGTTTGTCTGTAGCCTTATATGGTTTGACAACACTAAATACTTCTGTGTTTTCATTTGATACCGTGATTAGTAATTCCTTAAGATACGCCAAACAATGAAATGCAAAGTGACGTCATTTAACTGGTTTGAAAGAAATGAGTAAAGTAAAGAACAAAGGATAGACAGACTGATCCTCACGTGATAAGATAATGCGATGACGTCGTGAACTACGTACTCTGACTAAAGTATGGGTAGTAAACAGGATGGTTCTGTCCAGAGTATGCAGGGTGTGCTCTCAAAAGTCCCAGAGCGCCCATGATATTGTGACTAGGCAGGTAAGGGTGTCCATAAAGCATGCTTGAAGAATAAGGGGAGGTAAACGATGATAAACTGGAGGGCGTTGGAGGAATCGTAGGACTATTTACATCCATTCCTGGGTTTTGCTTCTTCCATTTCGTTCTTCTGTTTTGAAACCAAATTTTTACCTGCGTTTCAGTGAGGTTCAGAGATAATGCCAGGTTAAGTCTCTCACACACAGATAAATATCTAGTGGTCTTAAATTTGTTTTCTAATGCTACAAGTTGTTCGTATGTAAATGCCGTGCGCGCACGTCTGGGTTTTCCAGCAGATTTTGATGAATCGAATCCATTTTTACACCTTTTATCGTCCTTTTCGCTGTCGCTTTCACCAATATCATTGTCCATATCATCCGTATCATCTAACAGAGAGTTATCATCTGTATCGACGTCAATTCTTTCATCTTTTGATCCAATTCTGTGGCTTGTGTGAGATCCTGTGTGTAAAAACATCATAAATTAACGGCATGTAAAGTATAGTCTTAATAAATGGATGATATGACTCGTAAACAAACTATTGAAGTTGTTAGCCCTGTATTATATACATTTCGATTGTATATGAATCTAGACTAAATCTATGAATAGATATCCACTTGTCTGTGTATAGTTATCTCTTTCTATCTATACAGGTATATCCATGTTCCTGCCTCTTAAAAAAATCGACTAGTTCTATAAATGGTTGTACACGTGCTGCTTCATGTATTACTACTTAGTATGATATTTATTCTATAATCATGTATTTGTGTTCCTGAGGATGTGTCTATATTCCATATATTTAGTTACGTTATAAATAAGAGTACAATTGTCAAATAATTGTAGACCTAACCGTTGGCCAAGAAGAGAAATGTATTCTTTCAGATTAAAAATCGCCAATAAAACCTCCAAACATCGTGACATACCATACATTTATACTGTAAACACAGCGTGAAGAATACAGTTTTAAAAAAAGAAAACAGATCAGATTAAAGAATAAAACAGTCTATATTAAAGAATGAAATAGTTTAGATTAAAGAATAAAACAGTCTATATTAAAGAATGAAAGAATTTGGATTAAAGAATGAAATAGTTTGGATTAAAGAATAAAAAAGTTTGGATTAAAGAATAAAAGAGTTTGGATTAAAGAATTGAATAGTTTAGATTAAAGAATAAAATAGTTTGGATTAAAGAATACAATAGTTTAGATTAAAGAATAAAAGAGTTTGGATTAAAGAATGAAATAGTTTGGATTAAAGAATAAAACAGTGTAGATTAAAGAATAAAAAAGTTGAGATTAAAGAATAAAAGAGTTTGGATTAAAGAATTGAATAGTTTAGATTAAAGAATAAAATAGTTTAGATTAAAGAATACAATAGTTTAGATTAAAGAATACAATAGTTTAGATTAAAGAATAAAAGAGTTTGGATTAAAGAATGAAATAGTTTGGATTAAAGAATGAAATAGTTTGGATTAAAGAATAAAACAGTGTAGATTAAAGAATAAAAAAGTTTAGATTAAAGAATAAAAGAGTTTGGATTAAAGAATTGAATAGTTTAGATTAAAGAATAAAATAGTTTAGATTAAAGAATAAAAGAGTTTGGATTAAAGAATGAAATAGTTTGGATTAAAGAATGAAATAGTTTGGATTAAAGAATAAAACAGTGTAGATTAAAGAATAAAACAGTGTAGATTAAAGAATAAAAAAGTTTAGATTAAAGAATAAAAGAGTTTGGATTAAAGAATTGAATAGTTTAGATTAAAGAATAAAATAGTTTGGATTAAAGAATGAAATAGTTTGGATTAAAGAATGAAATAGTTTGAATTAAAGAATACAATAGTTTAGATTAAAGAATGAAATAGTTTGGATTAAAGAATAAAACAGTGTAGATTAAAGAATAAAAAAGTTTGGATTAAAGAATAAAAGAGTTTGGATTAAAGAATTGAATAGTTTAGATTAAAGAATAAAATAGTTTGGATTAAAGAATACAATAGTTTAGATTAAAGAATAAAAGAGTTTGGATTAAAGAATGAAATAGTTTGGATTAAAGAATAAAACAGTGTAGATTAAAGAATAAAAAAGTTGAGATTAAAGAATAAAAGAGTGTAGATTAAAGAATAAAACAGTGTAGATTAAAGAATAAAAAAGTTTAGATTAAAGAATAAAAGAGTTTGGATTAAAGAATTGAATAGTTTAGATTAAAGAATAAAATAGTTTGGATTAAAGAATGAAATAGTTTGGATTAAAGAATGAAATAGTTTGAATTAAAGAATACAATAGTTTAGATTAAAGAATGAAATAGTTTGGATTAAAGAATAAAACAGTGTAGATTAAAGAATAAAAAAGTTTGGATTAAAGAATAAAAGAGTTTGGATTAAAGAATTGAATAGTTTAGATTAAAGAATAAAATAGTTTGGATTAAAGCATACAATAGTTTAGATTAAAGAATAAAAGAATTTGGATTAAAGAATGAAATAGTTTGGATTAAAGAATGAAATAGTTTGAATTAAAGAATACAATAGTTTAGATTAAAGAATGAAATAGTTTGGATTAAAGAATAAAACAGTGTAGATTAAAGAATAAAAAAGTTTGGATTAAAGAATAAAAGAGTTTGGATTAAAGAATTGAATAGTTTAGATTAAAGAATAAAATAGTTTGGATTAAAGAATACAATAGTTTAGATTAAAGAATAAAAGAGTTTGGATTAAAGAATGAAATAGTTTGGATTAAAGAATAAAACAGTGTAGATTAAAGAATAAAAAAGTTGAGATTAAAGAATAAAAGAGTTTGGATTAAAGAATTGAATAGTTTAGATTAAAGAATAAAATAGTTTAGATTAAAGAATACAATAGTTTAGATTAAAGAATAAAAGAGTTTGGATTAAAGAATGAAATAGTTTGGATTAAAGAATGAAATAGTTTGGATTAAAGAATAAAACAGTGTAGATTAAAGAATAAAAAAGTTTAGATTAAAGAATAAAAGAGTTTGGATTAAAGAATTGAATAGTTTAGATTAAAGAATAAAAGTTTAGATTAAAGAATAAAAGAGTTTGGATTAAAGAATGAAATAGTTTGGATTAAAGAATGAAATAGTTTGGAAAAGAATAAAACAGTGTAGATTAAAGAATAAAACAGTGTAGATTAAAGAATAAAAAAGTTTAGATTAAAGAATAAAAGAGTTTGGATTAAAGAATTGAAAGTTTAGATTAAAGAATAAAATAGTTTGGATTAAAGAATACAATAGTTTAGATTAAAGAATAAAAGAGTTTGGATTAAAGAATAAAAGAGTTTGGATTAAAGAATTGAATAGTTTAGATTAAAGAATAAAATAGATCAGATTAAAGAAATGAATAGTTTAGTTTAAAGAATAAAAGAGTTTTGAAGAAAGAATAAAATAGAAACAAGAAGAGTTTAAAAGATAAGTTAACAAATTAGAAGCCAAATCAGAATTCAAAAATAATTTCATAATTTATCTGTATTAAATTAACCAAAAGGAAGTATTTCTAGAAAAACAATCATATATATATATATACTATATCTAGATATACGGACTACATTAACGTTTGTTTTCAGTTCTACACCTTTAGATTTCTACATAATATATGGTTCTCTAGTGTTATTTTGGTAAATATCTTAAGAATATTGCTAAAACACTTGAATAAAAACTTTGAAATATCATGATGCTATTCAATCTAAATAGTCTTCAGTTCGAAGAAATCTCTGATAAATATATTTTGATAACATGCAGTTTGTAAAGACTCTTGTGTATTGATAAAACCATCATTAGACCTGTGAGGATTTGGCTCGCATTCTGTGTAAGTCACTGTATCAGTGATTAAAGTCAGTCATTTCTTTGCCTATTTTCTTCGACTATTTGTTATTTTCCCTCAAGTTAATTTGTGACTAAAACAAACAATAATATATTGAGATAAAATTGGAATATTCACCTATAACTTGTAAGTAGACAGCAGATCGTAAAATCCTAGATTTACACACAACTGCAGTGACATCATGGCTAGTTATACAACAATATTACAATACGACGAAGTTAAACAACATCTGCTACTGTTCTCATCAATCCATTATTACACATAATCTCATGTATAATCCTGCATGTATTTAACAATCGACAGATCAAAATCCTTCGATAAAAACAAACTTATAAATTAACATTTGATCAAGTTTTCATCAAATACTATTAAAATTGTACTACTATATAAATACTTTGACCTAGAAGTTATTATGCTCGATTAAAACTAATCTTTATATTCTTTGTAGAATGCGAATGGTTATCAAAATATGTTTATAAACAATTGTATATCATCTGTGGATTTATAACGTGAGTGAAGTTGATAAAGTCCTGAGATTCATACACATGTACCAGCTGCCGATAAATATTATCAGATGGCAACGGTCTAATAAAACAACCACATTTCAAAAAATATTTTTTACATTTTAGAATTGCAATTAATAAAAACGATATTCCTTTGCTATTCAAAATTTATGTCGTTTTTACACTTTAGCTCAAATACGGCGGTGGTAGATTTGTTTAAGGTCGGTTATGACGCGGTATATAATGGGCGGCTAGCGTTTGTTCTACGGCACTTAATCTCTGCACCAGTGAAAATTGCTTCATCACTTTTGATGTTTCGCATACAAATGTAACATAATAAACTGAATAAAGAGAAATGTAGGGAAATAAAGCGACTTCCTGTTTTAAACAGGTATTAAATATGTCCTCAGTGTAGATAGCTGTACAGCCTGTAAGTCATCAAATGATATTGTTTCCCGCATCAGACGATCTTTATAAATACATCCTCACAAATACATATATTTATTTGCTATCAACTCGCAAAAAATCAAACATGTTTTGATTAAATAAAAAACCGATAGTAATGTTACCTCTTTATTTTCAGGTGATAGACCTGTAAATATAAATCTAATTTGTATTTATGTATGATGGTTGTTGGTATAAAAAGTTTGAACATAGTGGCCTATTCAGTTTAGTTGCACTTTTAATATTGCCATGTTTTATCAGCGCAATACCTGGTTTTATAGACATTAAAATATGCACAATTCAACAGAGAGTAGTATTTTTTTTATCTAGTATGACGTCATGAAGTTATCCAATGTTTAATGTTACTGTACATCAAACACACCTTTAGACAGTATATTGGACCCTGTAGAAAGGAGCACATTATTAAACTACCAAAGAGAAATCGGAAGTATTACACTAGAAGATTCGAAAAATATATATAACGTTAGGTCACACTATAGTATTACATCAGAAACATTGGTGGACCGGATTAGACAAAATCGGTGCATTCGCTATAGTGTAATTTACCAAGGAGTTCAATACGGTTAGTGGTTACGCATCAAGACGTGTGAGGATTAACATTCCAGGTGTGTAATTTTGTTTTCATTATATAATACTATACATTTCCTTTATTCTTCATCCTAATACATAAAATATCAACCTAATGTTTCCCCCTATATTAGTCCGAAATGACTTTTAATCAATGCAATTAGTCGAGAAGGCTGTCTCGGTTTTAGAAGTTTTTTTTTTTTTTTTTTTGGTACCGTGGCGGGATTTCGGGAAAGGTGGTCAAAAGCTCCTTAATTGTCCGTTCAACCTCATAAACGGCATCAAATGATGCATGTCGTGGACGTGGACGTTTGACATTTGAGTGGCAAGGACATGTGGCACAAGCACTTGTCGCTACTGTTGGTCCGACGACCCGTAGAGGGGGGTCAAACTCATGCTTGTAACGACTTCTACAGCGATTTTGAAAGGATTGCGAAAAACGTGTGAAAACATTTCACCCCCTATTGGAATTCATGTAACCAAATTGTCTGTCATTTTGTTTAGCTTTACGGTGGTTTTATTATCCTAAACAGCAAAGTGTATGAGTTGCAGAAATGCGTATTGCAAAAGTTGACATACACAGGTCAACTAACTTCACAAGTGCTTTCTTGTGAGAAATAGCAACAGTTGCGTGCTTCATCGAGCGCTCTGTGTAGACACGGTGTTCATATTAGTGGAGAACTCTATAAACCATCGACACAGCTTTTATACGTATCACAGAGGGCTGTCTCCTGCAATTTATACATATGTTTTAGTGGGAACACAACCAATCCTAAGAGTTTCATCTAAAAATAGATTTCTGCAAAATAGTATTTGACAATTAATCAATACTTGCTTCTTAATGATATATCCTTTGTGTCGTGTCATTATGATATTAACATAGCTTTTATCACGTGTAATTAATTGATGCACAATGAAAATTACCGTAATAACGTGAAAGACAAGACTTTGAATATTTCATGAGTTTTATGGCGTTATAATGTTGTATATCGTTTCACTATTATCTTTGCACTAAAGTAGTGCATACAACGTCAATCATTGTAGCCATCAAAATAATGAGTAACGTTACTATTAATGATTTTATACATTCATCCTTCTAATTCCTTTAAGTTTTTCTCTTTCAACGATTCATTGTATGTACTTCATTTCAATTAAGTTTTCAAAATTGTTCACTTTCTCAGTTTTTTTATTAAATATATTTCAAATAAGGATTCTATATGATTTTGGCAATAAAATAAAGCTGCAGAATTTCAGTCTAAGTCTAATAAATATTCCAAACGTTTCCAAAACATTGTTTGAGATAATTATTTTTTTGCTGACTTTACCCAGAAACTTGCCTAGATTTTGAAGTGATAATAGTATGATTTGGCATACATTATAGAGAAGTTATTTTTGTTATTCGTGATGTCGGTTTGACTGTTTCGGACAGATATTTAATACTACAATATTCGGACAGTTTTCTGAGATATCACACAAATGTACCGACCCAGGGTCAGTTATGTGTAGCCTGGAGCTAAAACCGTGAAATAACTATCCAAATCCAATTACTAAATATATGTGTGAATGTTTAAACATTAATGATTTCCTAAACCTGTTTTGGGCGATGCTAGATAATCGGTTTAATACGCTGACTGTTGACAAAAGCTTCTGTCCCGAGGTTTCAGGGTCAAAAGACCGATATTGTGTTTACCTGGTAAAATACACACAATTTTGTGTTATTTATCTATGATTTAGGCCTAAGAGGGCTTAAAGAAGGCTAGCGGTCACGCGCCACTACCAGTAACCACTAAACCAATTGTGACGAGGTTTTATGTATCCTTGTTTTGTACTTATATAATTAATGAAAACTTTGAGTTAATTGGCAACCTCTTCATTCTCGCACAGGAGCACTCAAGTAGCGAATCCAAACCTCGGGCTAGCTGATATAGAGATGAAATGTTTCCAGATGGTGTGTGGTGTCCCAGTAGGCCTTCTGCCCAGACCCGCCTGTCCTGTCTCACACGTCAGCTAAACGTTTAATTTATTTATCTTTATTACGTTAATTAATCTTAATTGGCGATAATGATCTAGCACAGCGGTTAAAACAAGGGTAACGTCTTTATTTACAATAGAATTGACACTAGATGTGAATGTTGGTTGGTGTTTACGGTGTGTCGATATGTTACTGGGTTGGAATGATCAGCTGATTTCTCGCCACTGCTGATGTCAGTGGGAGATAGGAGATGTGACAGACACTATAGTGTTTGTGTGCGGAGGATCTCTCACTAATTACAACTTGCGTCACGCTGAATTATTCACGTGCATATAAGCAAGTCGTGTTGTATTGTGCTAATTTGTAACAGAACATAAGGTCGTTTTAAAAATCATGACAAAGTTCATAAATGAGCGATATAGTGCCCTGTAGCAATGACTGACGTTCTCATTTGTTACAACAGATATGTATGTTTCAAAACTAAATGATAATTAATATAATCTAGTAAAACCGAGATTTTCAAAACTTGTGTGATAAGTGGAAATCAAGATCTGCTGGAAAGTCGTAAAATACAGATAAAGTGAAATAAAGGTGTTTTGCCTCCTGGTTACTGTATTATTACTGAATATTTCTACTCCCCCGCAAATAGATACGAAATCAAATTAAGATCAAAATGTCAATTTCTGAATGACAATCACCTAAAATTTCTTATATGTTTTTGAAAAAAATCTGCTGAAGTAAATGTATGATGTTTTGATAAATGTGCTTCTTGTATTTTTGGGACGGGTGACTTTGTAACACACTGTAAACAATTACAGACGACCTATAGAATATTTTAGATAATAATTTTCAGATAACAATCATTACCTATATATATTATGTATTCTAATTCCTGAAACTCGAACGCTTCCGAATTTTAAACAAATTTAAATCATTTTTTAATAATGTTTATTTCAAAGGTAACATATTTGTATTGGATTGAACAGTTACAAAGATAATTGTGAATTTTCGATGTAAACTTAAGTAAACATATTTTATGTAAATGTCGGAGAAATTCAACAAAAACTGACCGTAGAACACTAGACAAATCATTGAGAATATTTATGGTTAAGAAATTTAGTGGCAGCAAGTCCAATCAAATGTGCTATTTTGTATATATGAAAATCTGTAATATTAAAAGCATAATCTGGTGTGTAATATTCATATAAACTGCAAATCTATATATATGTTTTATATCTAATGCATATTAACTGGTACACAAGTTTTATAAAACATACACAAACCGGATATGTTTTATATATATATACTCCAATGTATATATTAACTATGACACATTCTGTATACTATACAAGGTTTTGTATTTTATAAATGTTTTATCTGGTTGACGAACCTCATATTAATGTATCCTTTTACACTGTTGTAATGTTATTGTTAGCCATCACTGGATACAGCTTGCTATTTACCTGTTCGTTTGTTTTACTGTGAAAGATTAATATTATTTTAGAATAATACCTTTTCGTAATTATTTTTACAGATATAAAGATAAAACTGTCCTGCAGTACATGTTATATCTGATAAATAGTGTAATAGTTGGTACATTTTGTGCTGTCTGGACAATTAGGAAATATCCACTACATTATGCTGTAAAAAAAGGTTCCCGTAAATCATGCAGACTGTGCAAGCAATGAAATGTGGCCGACGGGATTCATCTAAAAAACCAACTTAATGATCGAACTTATGAAACTATTTGAAATAATTTCTGATAGATTTTATAAAATACTCATTTTATTTATGATTTTAGCACGTATAAGAAATTTTAACAAACAAATAACGAAGTAAATATGAATCAAGTTAGGATGTCTGAAATATTTTCACTGTATTACATTATGGTATGAAGTAAGATATTTGTTTTCTCTCCCTTTTAAGTCCTTTTATCACAATAATTTTTCTTCAAAATACATATTAATCCTCTTTAAAACAGTTGTTTATACGAATATCCATTTCATGTTGTAAAGTCTTAATTTTGTTAATATAAAACAAGTAGATAAATAAAACGGTCACTCATATTTACGTGATATATCTTAGATAATATAGCTAGTTGATTTTCTTTTCTTTATTAAAATGATAATGTCATGTATTCACACACTATTTTGTGAGACGTTCAATAAATGACCGTCCTCTAAAACACAGCACAATTAATGTTGTCATCACTTAATATCCTTACAGTAACGAATTTAAGTTTAATTTCTAAGGGAAACCTTAAATAGAGAAAAATGTTACATTTTTGTTATTTTAGCTAAATATTTTGCTATTTATTGTTACAAAATCAGCCAAGTTTTTATGGTTTGGTATTAGAAACATTAATTTTACATTTTAGACATTTTAAAAATTTTGTATTTTTATCGATGATGATTTCAATAAAAAACAATAAACAAATTCCACTACACTAATTTTACAGCAATAAACTGATTATGTGTAAGGTTATTGTATCGAAAAGAGGGATGTTGAAATGATGTTGATAAGTTTCAATAGAAAATAAATAATATTTAAAAAAGTACAAAATAAAAAATAAAGAAAAAAAGAAAAATAGAAAAAAAAGATAAAATAAAAACAATAATAAAATAAATAAAAACAAATATATAAGACGGAAAATATGTTAAGTTGATGAATGATAATTAAATAGATTACCTGGAATGGTGATGAAACAGAATGTATATTTAGATTTATCCCTGTACATCTACCTACCTGCAAGATCGGACTGTTCTTCTTCCAACGCGGAATCGTTTCCCTCAGAATCCCGAGCGGAATGATCCTTCCACGGACTCCAAACTTGTCCCTTTCCCGTCACGGGACAGCCTGTAAATTTCTTAGGATCTAAAATGTCTGCCATAGAAAATGATATTGGCATAGTTGGTGCCTGTGCCTCAGTTGTTGGTTTGTTCTTTTGAGTCTGTTTTGTTTTCTTATTTTTGTTTAAAGATCCATGAGAAGTGGGATGAGATGTTGGAGACAGACTAGTATCCTCCTGGAACGGCTCGACATGAAGATTGTCGGAATCTCCATCATCACTAGTATTTTCCGGGGTGGGACACCGGTGACCCGGAGATGTCCTGTTCGTCGTCTCCATTAGGTTGTCCAATCTGCTGGAGAAGCGGTCGAGAAAGTGCGAAATGCCAAAGCGAATAGAATATAAATGGAAAGTTTGTAAAGTAGTCAGTCGCACTACTGATCATAATGAGGATGTTACACTTTTTCTGATTGGCTTATTAGAGACACTTAAACCGAGCGCCCGGAGTCATCTTTCTCTGGGCATGCGTAGATGATATCGGCCTTAACACAGCCACAGATGGGTTACACCCCGTCACGAGTAAAGGGCTTATCAAAGATTAATTTCACGGAGCCAGCTAATTGGCTGACGACTAATTGATGCTATTGAGCCTATAATAAGATGATCATTTGAGAGGAAACGGTAAGATGGCGTAGAAATTAACAGACATTTTTGTAATATTGTTGGAAAAGTGTTTATTGGAAACATAGAAATATCGTTATTTTACAAGTTTATGTTATATTGAACATAGTTACTCATTTTATAATCAGGGCCTTGTATAAATATATACACATGCTTTTCACATGAATCAGTTGATTTTTAAGGAAATACTTTTTTTGGTCAATTTTAACTCAGACATCAGAACGTTATTTCTAAGCAACAACGATCTCCACTTTTGATTAATTCATCGTATTTGTAAATATTTCCAGCACACCATTTGTTGTCTTGTTTGTTACCTTCATGGTGTTGAAATCGATATCAGTGAACAGAATACTAGTGTCTGACGTCATCAATAAGAAGAAAATGGCGTATTGAAGAATTTGAATTGACAAGTGTGTAAATTGTCAAAAGTAGTTGCATTTAATTTTTTTTCCGAAATATAATAATGATAATAATAATAATAATAATAATAATAATAATAATAATGACAATAATAATAATAATGATTATGAAAATTATAAAGAAAGAAATGGACGAATGATTGAGTAAAATATTCATAGCATACTCGTGGTTTAAACACTGGTGTTACGAAAGTACACACATTTAAATTGTTTACAGTGTGTACGATAGCGGCAATAGTAAGGAGAGTTATCATGATTAAAGACCATGTCTGTAATGCTATAAACAACAAATTCTATAAAGAAAAAGCTATATTATAAGTACTTTAGCCTAATCTTATAGTTATATAGTCGGTTAATTTGAATTAACTATGAGCGTCAAATATTGAAAGGATCTACATGAGCAACGAAGCGACACACGGTAACGATCTTAAAGAAATAAATTAGTATCATTGAAAACGTAGCAACATAGAAGGATCACTCCGTAATTTAATGTTCGTTTGATCTAATCGTAATGTACTGCGTATCACATATACTTTACATGTGACCGTGTATACTTCTACTCATTACCTTGTCTTTCATAATTAAGATACGCTTTAAACTAATTAAATATTAATGGATGATTTTGGAACAGAAGTATTTGTGTGGTTCACCTAATTTGTTACCGAGAGTAACGTGGATATCACATGTGTTAGGTGACACACTGTTTAGTCAAAATATGTGATTAAAATGTACTGAATAGCCCAATCACACATTCACACATTAATCCTTACACCATGTAAAGGTGTACCTCCCGGCATCGGATAGTAAGCAAAATATATAGATCGCTAAAATATTTCATTGGAATAATTAGTTCAAGTAGAATATATTTGTATAAGAATCGAAATTTTAAGGTCCAATACTTTTCATTCTCCCTGACATGGTGTTTATGGCTGACTAAATGTTACAATTAGTTGTAAACTACTGACGTAAGAAGACATCTATCCTAGCCAACAGTGGGTTGCTAATTAGCGATTCTGAACCAACCTTTGATTTTCATAACCTGATCGGTGAATCTTCAATATTTAACTTAACAGTATTTTTATCTTCATTTTACCAAGGGTATAAAAACATTGTGGAGATGATTGAGATATGCAAAACATCCATTTACAGTTATCTGATAGAATCAAAGGACAGAGGCATAAATAAAACTTTGATAAATAGTTTTGAACATATTCTCCGACAGATTTGTAAAACTATGTAAAAATAATAATATAAAAAAGCTTATATCGTAAACTAACTTGTGTGGTAAATAATAACATCGACAGTTCAACGGACAGTAAACTAACTCAGATACTAGATAATTCAAGGGACAGTTAACTAACTCAGATACTAGATAATTCAAGGGACAGTTAAATAACTCAGATACTAGATAATTCAAGGGACAGTTAACTAACTCAGATACTAGATAATTCAAGGGACAGTTAACTAACTCAGATACTAGATAATTCAAGGGACAGTTAACTAACTCAGATACTAGATAATTCAAGGGACAGTTAACTAACTCAGATACTAGATAATTCAAGGGACAGTTAACTAACTCAGATACTAGATAATTCAAGGGACAGTTAACTAACTCAGATACTAGATAATTCAAGGGACAGTTAACTAACTCAGATACTAGATAATTCAAGGGAAAGTTAACTAACTCAGATACTAGATAATTCAAGGGGCAGTTAACTAACTCAGATACTAGATAATTCAAGGGACAGTTAACTAACTCAGATACTAGATAATTCAAGGGGCAGTTAACTAACTCAGATACTAGATAATTCAAGGGACAGTTAACTAACTCAGATACTAGATAATTCAAGGGGCAGTTAACTAACTCAGATACTAGATAATTCAAGGGACAGTTAACTAACTCAGATACTAGATAATTCAAGGGACAGTTAACTAACTCAGATACTAGATAATTCAAGGGACAGTTAACTAACTCAGATACTAGATAATTCAAGGGGCAGTTAACTAACTCATATACTAGATAATTAATCTCAAATCAGACTATCACTGAGAAGTCTAACCTACTCAAATTTCACATTATTATTTGGAAACTAAATATATTCTTATGTAAGATTTTTATTGGGAAAATTAGACTTACATAAACAGATGAGAATTATGAGGATTAAACGAACAATAACAGATATAAGAATTACTTTTGTATCCATTGAGTAAATTACCTGAAGATGGTATTCCAAGAGAAATTATTGATATCATTTGAAACATTTTAAACGCAATGATAATTAATCGAATTTGAAAAGACATTTAGACGAAACAGTTGTATATATAGTGCAATATAAATAAAAATTTGATATAAATCATTTCTGTAACTTCACATTTTGACTGTTTTTATTACTGAACTCTCTATGCACACCACAAATTGCGATAAATGTCCATTTAGATATATCTTTCCGGAACAATCAATTTCTGAATTGTGATATTTATACCAGGATGGGGTTAGCTTACAGATGTATGTTTGTAGATGATACATTGCGCATTCGGATCAATGCAGTTTATTCAAGGGACATAATAAATTGTCACTTTGAAAAGTACAATTTCTCGGGAATCGTGATAAGATGATCAGGTTATCAAATTGTAACACCCTTCTGTGAATTTTTCATTTCTAGATACTAACACATCTGCATTCACAAAGCTATAGTACATGTATTTATATTTCGCATTTGATTCGATATTAAAGGGCTTGCTCTTAATATCCCGAAGCAGGTTGAATGAGATTAAGGGATGTTTTAGTGTCGTCTTAATTTGTACAATATGAAGCTGGACGTGCTTGATGCTCGTTAGTATACCTGTTGGTTTCATTGTTGTTCCCGTTGTTTTCATTGAGTTACACTACTTACTTGGATTTGCCAAGTTTTACATGGTGGATGTCGTCGGTAAAACAGAAAACGCTTACCCTTGCAGGACAACTGGTCTTATCTTCTTGTACTCTTCAGGAACTCCATGTAAATCTTTCTTTTGTTCATATATTTGTCCTAGTTTCATCTTATTTTGGTTTGGATTTTAATCCCGTTTATAAACTGATTTTTAAGTAAGTTAATGACACAAATATGTTGGTGTGTTATCGGGAATAAGGTGATATACTATATTTTTCGGTGTTGCAAAGGGAGGTAACCAAAGGTTATTTCACATGTACGGGCAATTATTGAGGAGGAAAACAATGAGTTCATACATCTTTTATTTTTCTTCGTTCTCTTCATTGTTTCCTTATTCAAAATTAATTAGCTTGATCATCAGGAAAATGAACTAAATATCTAAATCGATAAATATTGTCTTCGGTGTAGATATACGGCTCCAAAGTCTGTTTTCTCATTTTCCGAATCACTCCATTTATTTTATAGCTTTATGTTGATGAGATGTTGCGGATGTTGAGGCCGCTAGCGTGACGAGTTCGTGTGTGAAGCGGTCCGTGTAACGTGCTATAGTCAGGGTTGGTGTGACGAGCACCGCGACTGATTAATTGGCCCCAATTAACTTCACTGTTATCCTTTAATGTATAGAAAGCTTCTCTGTAGCCACTCATCTTGATAGATCAATAGTGCCTCCCCGGTTATGATATTGGACTAATCTATTCAATTGAATAGAGGACGATTTCATGTAATAAAATGTGAATGACGGAGACTTAATCCTCGTCGTTTCAGTTTCTATGAAGAAGTTATTCACGATAAACTGTAGTGTATAACGTCTTGGAAATTCATCATAACATTTTGACAATATTTACATTGGATTAAGACGGCAAGTTCTGCCTAAGGTTTGTGAATTATCAATGATTTCTAGAATCATCAATAAACCATAAATTCTTCTGTCAATGTTAGTGTTTCTTTGATACTGGTCATCACCGTGTTTTGGTTGGTATCAGTACTCCACTTATGTAAATGACGCTGAGGACTTGGATCTGTGATCCAGCTCGCCCTCGCCGTGTTCCCTTGGGATCCTCGCTCATAGCCGTGTTTGTCTTAGGCCTAGTTATAAGGTGACGACGGGATACTCGGGGATGCCAATAATCATACAGACGCTTTGAATACAAAGATAAACACCTTGATCCCTAACGACACAAGCAGACTTATACTACGACTTAATAGAACAAGTTTTTCTTGAATGTGACTGTACAACGTACCCAGGTCAAACATAATTAAAATGCTTTGAAACAAATACAATTGGTTATCGTAACACTGGCCAGGCAAC